CACCCCATGCAGCACCCATGGGGTCCCACCCCTCTTATCCCAGCAGCAGAGCAGCATCACAAATTAATCATTGTGAGCACCTCTTGTCAATCAAAATGGCTCTATAACGTCCTGTGGCAGAGCTGGTTTGTTCTTTGAGTGAGCTTGACTTCTCCTTCAACACAATGTAGCACCCATGGCTGTTCACTCCTACGTCCTTAGCGTTTTCTTCTGGGTTTTGTGGTGAAATTTTTCACGGGGCCTGAGGAAACTGGAGGTGTTGACATTAGAAATAAAACACTATTTTGGTAAATGTGAAAAGATTGGCAAATCTAGAAAACATTTACTGACACAGTCATTGGGATTCAGTTTCCATTTTGTCTTTCAGTCTCATACAATTTTGGACAAAGAAGAGTTTCCTACTTAAGCATTCAGAGTTTCTACAGCTACTGAGGTCAGAACCATCCTGCCTTGGTTTGTTACAGGATATGCATGCTGTGTCATACATTCTGTTTTCTATACAACACTCTAGAATAATAAAATCACTTGGAAAGCAATCAAGGAAGTCAATCTCTTGAAATTTGCGATTCATGGATTTTGCCTTCTAATGTAGCCTTGACTACAGAGCCTGCTTTGCAAAACGCCCCTCACCCCCCCAAAAATAATCTAGACTTCTAATTATTCAAATCATTCTATAAATTATAATCTGAAATTTTTCTGGCACCCTTTAAAAACAGCCAATGCATGCTACACACTGATCACCGCATGAAACACTTTCCATGGCGGGGATTTATCACAAAGAAGTGGCCAAAATTTGTCAACGGGAAGTTCTTTCACAATGAGAGGTGAATCGCGACCCGAATTTCTTATGATTCTGAAACTTGCACTTTGCCTGTTAATGTGCTTTGGCTCAGCTGCCGAAAGTCATCACGAAGCTATCCCAGCTCTGCGGCTGAATCATCTCAGTGGGTTTTTGGAGGCAGCGGTGTGAACTGAACGCCAGCAATTCCTGGCTGCCACGGGGGCGGCTGCAAACTCAGGCCAGCAACGGCCACCAGAGCTGCAGACTCAGGCCAGCCGTGGCCCATCAACACAGCTTCAGGGCTCCTCCAGCTTAGGCACCCCCAGCAGCCCTGCCACACCTCAGCTCTGCTCACAACACAGCTGGGGCCACCTCGAGAGCCTGCAGACACCAGAACCACTGCGCCTTTCCCTGCAAAACACAAAAATCTCCGTTAAATGGGCATCTGGCTTGGCGCTGTGTGAAACAAGGACCATGTCTTGCTGGACCATGGTCCAATGATCAACCAAAGCCATTCCATGGCTCTACAAAACAAGGGCCATGTCTTGCTGGACCACGTCCAGTGTCTGTGGTCTTTTCCAACCAAAGCCGTTCTATGAAACAAGGACCACATCTTCAGGGCGTTTACACAGCTCCTAAACCAGATTTTGACTTGTGGGCAGTATATAAAATAGTATTTCTCTTAAGATCACACTTCAAAAGGGATCACGTCTTTTTTTGCCCTTACTGTTTCTAGCCCAAAGGGAAAGGTTTTGCACTTCCACCCCATCTGCTATTTGAATGTATCGGTCAGCTCAGTCTCACAGTGCTTGGGTAAATCTTAACCCGCTAATGAATGCAAAGTCAAGGCACAAAGAAGTGATTTATGTAATAATGAATATTAATGACTATTTCAAGATGACTGCACACCATGTACTTATAAACTCACCTTAGGAAATAAACTCTCATGAAATAAAGCAACTTGTGTTTCCCTTACTACATTCTTTTAATAAATGAATATTCAATTACGGGGTTATTATTCAGTTTACAGCAATCAGTGGACATAATTTTGAATATGAAGATATTATTCATGCACGTTACAGTTCCAGGCATGCGTTATCCTTTCCTGAAAGCCGTTCAGCCTCCCAGTCTTTATGCAAAAGCTGGGCCCGCGGGCGCAGCGCAGGATGTAAATTAAATTCTTCTTTGGCTAAACCTGCCTGCCCTGTAGGACACCAATATTATCGAGCAGTGACAGTGGCAGCTAAAAACGGCAAGCAGAACAGTTCCCTTAAAATAAGGCCAGAAAGGGGCAGCTCCCAAATAACAAATCTCAGTTGTGAACTAAATTTTAATTTTATCACCAAGAATTTTCAGTTAGATATAGAAGCTATCATCTCAGCAGTTGCTACCATTACTTTAAAAACTCCTAATGAAACTAATAAGATAATTGAAGATGTAGTTATTACTGATATATAAAGGCTACAGCCTTTACTTGGTCGCCCTCTCAGTCCCCGTGGCTCTTCCTCCTACTCCTCTGATATTCTGTTGAAATCAATGCTCCAGCTGAGAAACCCAGGGAACAGCACAGACACACACAGGTCACCAGAGCACGACCGCCCCAAGACAACACAAACCATCTCCAGTTATTTGGATGGTACTGAAATACCGTGGCTTTGTCATGCACTTCCTTGAGGAGGCAGATTAAACCAGCACACCCCAACACTGCTATGAGATCCTGGCAGGATTGGCCAAATACCTCCACCATAAGAACGCTCCCCTGCATTTTTCCTATGCTCAGAAATGTGCACAGAAAAGCCACTCTTTGATCCATCTCACCCGCTTCAGCTACTGCAGCGGGCCTTTATATACATAAAACATTTATTTTTAGGAGTCTGTGGCAGCTCCTTACTCTTCCTTTGATGTACCAAGCATTTATGATCAATAATGTCTGAAAGCAGCTGGCATTACTACAACTGCTCTGAGTCAAGGAAAAAGAGTATCAGAAGTAACGCGACACGGCTTTTGGCTGTTCAGGAGGTGCAGTTATCGCAGTAAACGTACGTGGCTTCGGTAATGAGACTCAAAGCGTAAGATGGATTATTTTTAATAACAGCTTTTCACAGGGGTTTTATTAGAGATCCTAAATCGGAGCTCAACATTTAACTAACACATAAATACCTCACTAAATGAAGGGACTCACACAGGGCCTTAACGAAGGCAGCGCCATAAGGGCATGAACTTGACCTAGAGCAGCTCAGAGCACGATCCAGCTTAGGCTGATTATATTATTGTGGGGGTACCAACGCTAAAATGTCACATTCAGAAAGAGTTTTAACTGTGAATTGACTGCCCTCCGTCCCAATTCCCGCATCCCCCCACGCCAACAGCAGAGCACCTCTGCACGCCGAGGCGTCTGAATGCAGCTGACAGCTGACGCTTCCCTGTGGATGAATCCTCGTGGTGCATCGACGTCCTGAGCTGGTTCGGCAGACACAGAAAAGCCTGAGGTCATACAAGCGGGCAGCTCAGAAGATGAAAATGCTTCTTTGGGTTGACCTTTACCCACTTAAAGTACAAATGAAACCACCTCAGGGATCCATGCATGGGCTGTCAGCACATATGGGCATCAGCTCCCTGTCCCCGGGGGTTCAGGGTTTCGGGGGTATTTTCCCCTATTATCCAACCAGCCTTTTACATTGGATGCATTCAATGTGGTCAAAGCTTGTACAGTGCAAGATCTGATTTACTGCAAAGCCCTGAAGGATTACATTACACACCCACAGCGGTCTCTCTCTATTGTTTTCCTAGAGAAACGTGTAACTTTCAAAGAAACACACACCTTTTACAGTGCCGACGCAGTAAATAACACTCACAAATCACATTTTCCTGGCAGCGCTGGTTATCACCTCAGGGAACATTAATGACTGCTTGCATTTACTAACAACACAGCAGTCAAAACCACACTTTGGTGAGCACTGTAGCCCAAATGATGGCATCATCCCTGCATGGAACAGTGTGACCTGCTACTATACCTTTAACATTTACTTCATCCTGCAAAGCGATGATTACAGCCGATACTGACAAACCTCTTTTTGCTCCAGCTGGAAAACCCTGTGAATAAATCATGTCATGTTTAGATAGGAAAAACAGGTCAATGGCTACCGAGCTGACATTTCCAACAGCAGAGCCTTCCCTGCAGCGCAGCTTTCGGAAACCACGCTTCATTTGACAACACACGTCCTTTTTAGCAGAATCCTCTTAGGTACTGCATCAAAAGACATTTAACTGCATTAAAGGGCAGAAAGAACCTTCCGAGGAATGAAACTTCTTTTAAATTACAGATACATGGCATAACGTTTTAATCCTTCTTTTAAAGCAACCTCCTTCCAATTGATGTTGCATGCCTTGAGGCCAGAAAAATCCCCCTCGGGCGAGTTCTTCTGAGTGCCTCGGAGAAACTGGTGAGAATAGCACATTTTTGAAGGAAATGAACCAGCAGAAAGCAGTGATATCAGCACTAACACTGTTCACCTCCACACAGCCAAGTCTCAGTTTCCTTTTCTAACAAGATTAAGAGACCAGCAATGCTGTTTTATTGCTCAGCAACTGAAATCTTTACCAACAACAGGTTAGAGGAGCTCTTGTCCAAGGGGGGCATATTTCTTTTAATGAAAACAAAATTATCTAAGAAGATCCTATCGCATTAGTCATTTATATGAAAGCGTATCTTAAATATTTATTAAAACCAGGAAATAATCCCACTGAAAAGAGGATTATTCTAAATTGACTGTGTATATACTCACAAATCGTACTTGTTCCTTCAGCCATGTCCTACAGCCCCAGACACACAACTGCCACAACAGGAGGGATTTTTGTCCTTATATACGAATGTGGTTGGTGGAGATGTCATCCTCTGCTCTGTGCTCAGGCACAGCACGCTGAATCACACACTCTTCAGGAGTCACAACTGTGGTAAACATGGTACTTGTGATCCATTCCCTTAATGTAAACGAGGAACAGCCTTTGGTAGTTTGGGAGATATTTCAGATATTCTTGGAATAAAAGATAAAGGCAATCTACACAGGGATTAGAAATGAAGACCAACGGCCACTTTTATTCACATAGGCTAATAACAGATTGAAGCAATTACTCCACTAATCACTCACACTCTGACGATCACCAGACACGACGAGTTCACAGCAGCCCGGCCAGTGCTGCGTTCTCCATGGAGCTGCGATCACCGACTTCCAACATCTTTCTTTTTCCAACGAAGCCACCTCAGAGCTCTCGCCAGCGCCACTTGTCCCATGAGGAACGTGATCGTAAAGTTACGTTTATACCAATCTCTAGGGTTCCAACACCAGGAAAGTCACCAGCACCCAGGACAAGAACAGGAGAAAGAGACACGATTTTATTAAAACAGCCCTGACAAATCCCAATTCAGTGATGACCTGCATTTTCCATTCTTTGTGGCAACAGTTTTCCTAATTAGTAATTAGAGTTAAATAACCTACAAAAAGGTCTATCCACATCCACAAAGAGATCACACATGGACTGTAAGGCTACAACCATTGAGAGCTTGCCTGTAAAAAAGTTTAGGGATGTTTTATGGCCAATTGTATGTGAAATCAGGTAAGATAAAATAATTGTAACATATCTCATGTTTCGGGTGTCAAGCTGACCATCAAGCTCTCTAGAAGAATTTCCTGCCAGTGCTATGGGTCAGAATTGTTTGTGCACACATGAAGCTGTGTGTGTTGGAAAAGGCACGGGTGGTCACCTATACGTGCAGGGAAAAATAAATAAAGCCATACTTCAAAGACTAATTGTATAACCCAATACAGGAAACACCGAGTTTCTAAAGCAGTATCTTTTAAAGATTATGTCTTTAATATTGCCAAAGAAAGTCTTTTTATCTTTAAACAGTTTTATGAAGCATGCATGACTTCTGGAGCCAATTCAAGACATAGACAAGACAGTCTGTATCAGCCCCTTTTAGCCTCCAGAAACTTGCTTCAAGTTCTTGACCCTATTGCAAACTAAAGTAATGCCACCATTTCTTTCTAGTTTCTAACGAGGATCCCTCCCCAGTTTGGTAAAATGCTGCACAAGCAGCAACAGATTATGCTTATTGTAGAACTAGCAATGAATATCAACTCCTGGCATTTAGATCTTGTCTCGAGATCTCTGAGGGAAGCCCTGCAAGTGCAGCTCTACCACGAACCCAAGACACCAACCTCTCAGTAAGGATCGCAGCCAAAATCATGCTGACAAGCAGCACTGAGCTGCCCCCTCAAATGTCATGTTACATCAAAATACCATGCTAACATTGCAGCTGCTTCTTTTCCCCTTTCATGTCTCATCTCCTACATCCTTCTTGAATTTTCCCCTAAACCAGCCTGTATTTCCAGTCTAAGTACCTTGAACTAAATATTCATAGCGTCTGTGCACAGTCATTGCTTCAATTTTATCTGGATTTCAGAAGTCCCAGCACTTCAGCGGCCAGTTTTCAGGCCAGCTGGCAACACTGCAAAGAGCACACAGCTGAACTCATCAACATTTTTATAAATATGACTCCTCAAGATCCAAACACCTGTGAAAAGCTCCACTGCTCTCAGGGCTCCGCAGGTCCACTCTGAAACTGCACGGATGCAGCTGACACTGCCTGGTTTTACAGGGCAGCAACAAGGAAGGTGATGTTTAGGCACAAAGCCTGAACCACAGAATCCCAGACCGTTAGGGATTGGAAGGGACCTCCAAAGCTCATCCAGTCCAATCCCCCTGCCGGAGCAGGAACACCCAGATGAGGTTGCACAGGAAGGCGTCCAGGCGGGTTTTGAATGTCTGCAGAGAAGGAGACTCCACAACCTCTCTGGGCAGCCTGGGCCAGGGCTCTGTCACCCTCACTGAGAAGAAGTTTCTTCTCCAATTTCAGTGGAACCTCCTGTGTTCCAGTTTGTGTCCGTTACCCCTTGTCCTATCATTGTTTGTCACCGAGAAGAGCCTGACTCCATCCTCGTGACACTCACCCTTTAAATATTTATAAACATGAATGAGGTCTCCCCTCAGTCTCCTCTTCTGCAAACTAAAGAGCCCCAGCTCCCTCAGCCGCTCCTCATAAGGGAGATGCTCCACTCCCTTGATCATCTTTGTAGCCCTACGCTGGACTCTCTCCAGCAGTTCCTGTCCTTCTTGAACTGAGGGGGGAACTGAACCCTCCTACTGTGAAGAGGGGACGTTACCCTGAGGGCACCACAACATCTGCATCTGGTGACCAGTATTCACACACTATTTGCTTTCTCACTCATTGGTCAAGGCAATTTGAACAACAATCCTTTCATTAAAAACAATTTTTTACTTTCCATCTTGTCATGCTGTTGCTTAGGTTTATGGTGAGGTTTCCTCCCCCAGTCCCTCAGGCAAGACAAGATGTGCGTGTTTGTTTTAAATATCTGTCACTGTAACGTTGTGCTTACTCATTGGTTATAGGCAATTTGAACAACAATCCTTTCATTAAACAATTTTTTACTTTCCATCTTGTCATGCTGTTGCTTAGGTTTATGGTGAGGTTTCCTCCCCCAGTCCCTCAGGCAAGACAAGATGTGCGTGTTTGTTTTAAATATCTGTCACAGTAATGTTGTGCTTACAGGAGAGTGCATTATGGTGCATGCACAGTAAGTGCAAAGAACCCTGAACCACAGTTTGTTACAGATCAGTTAGAGCAATGGCAGAATTCTCACTATCATTACACCATTGGGAACCCAGGAACATTTGACACCTTTGAGCCCAATGCTCTTTCAGTCCCACAGGGAGAAGAAACTGAAGCTGTGGTTTCACGTTCAGTGGGCAGTGCTGCTGTAACTGGTTAAGCGCTCTCCTCCTCCAGCTCCCCACTCCTTCCTCATTTCCAGCCCTCTATCAAGTGTGCCCCGTTACCTGCAGGGTAATGCATGTTTTAAAGTCATTTTTCAATTGCTGCAGATCCCAAATGCAGCCTACCAAGTTGTTGTACAAACAGCTACACTGAAACAGTGCAGTACAAGTGACAAGGCACAGTGGATGTGGGCTTACCCAGCTGTAGGCAAGGCTCTACACAGTCCAGGCAATCACTGTATTAATGCTTCACCGCACAAAAACCCCTCAAAGTCAAGGCTAATCACTTTCATTTTTACTATATGCTTGCAAAATGATAAAACCAAGAACACTAAATATTATTCTTATCAATTTTCCTTTGAGATGAATCGCATTCACTACTCCTTATTTAACAATGAGCATCTCTTCTATAGGAATTCCATCTGTTTTATTCTCGTATCTATGAGTTTCAATTAGCAGCATGAAAAGACCCATGCCAGAAGAGGAAAAAACTGAGTGCCTGATCTTGTCTCTCTGAATCTCAGCCAGAAGATTCATCTCTCCACTAAATCAGCAATAAGCAGAAAAGCTCAAGTGATAATGCAAATTTCTGTCAAATGCTAATAACAGTATTTAAAAACATAACAGAAATGCTCAGTTTTGAGTGCTGTTTTACCAATTATGGAAAAAAAGGTTCATATTTAAAATGTGATCTTATGCTTTTCACTTTGACTGTAACATACAGTAGTCAACATAAACACTTTCTACGTACCTGTTATACTGCACATGCTTTCTAAAATTCTTACTCAGAAAGTCCTTGTAAAACTCCGCCATCTCTTCTGCACTCAACGTTACTTTTTGACCTGAAAACAAGTGTTGGCATAACAATGTCAAGATAATTCTATGGATTGAAACACTGGCTTCAGACGCAGGAGAGCTGGGTTTGGCTACAAGCTTCCTGCATAACCTTGAACAAGTTAATATGCTTTTATCTTTCCATTTTATAAAGCTTATCCAGAGAGCTCAGCAGATTAAAAGCACTGATCATCTTCAAGCTGGCATAATTCTTAAGCCCTCATTAGTTGTGAAAGTGATTACGTTTATCAGGCCTTAGATTATTTAGGGAACTAGTAGGCACTGATGAAAAAGTCCATAGATCTTGGACTATCTAGCCCTTGAGTAAAATTAATCTCTCACAGCACCAGTAAGAGCACTTAGTAACTTAAATCTCCCCCCTAAAGCAAGTCAATAAATACAGAAAGAACACTATCCCAAACTGACATTTTCAGACATGCACATTTCTTCTGTTGCTATTGATACATTGCAGGTAACCTATACCAAAGAGCATACGATCTGTCAGATTTATTAACAATGCAGTAGACAATTATTTTGTAGCAAGTACAAAAGATGACTTTGAATATGACTTTCTATGCAGAATACAAGAAGAGGAGATAGATTCTCTCCACAGAGCCCAAAAGGCAAACCTGTGGCTACAGCACAAGAACCAAGAACCAGCAAATATTCTCAACTTTACCGGATAATTCCTAGACAAACTGTCCAGCACTTTCAATGTTTCTTAAATAAGGGTTAATTTTGAATGTCCCAGGGGACACGGGCATGATGAGGGAGACAGAACAGTGATACTCAACTTGTTACTATTCCAAAATGCATTTAAACACTCCTGAGGCTGAGCGGAGAAATGCAAATTACTGATCAGCTCTATCTGTTGTCATTTACAAATCCATGATATGACAATGGATAACTACTACGGGATAATTTCACTCTAAGAGTATTTGAGGGAGTTAACACCTATAGGTAACTTGCTTCTTCATACTGGGATCAGCAGAACTGATCGTAGAGTCCATTATACCAAAAAACTAAGTTTTATTCCAACTGTTCATATATATTGTCATTACTCTTATGTATATATATGTGTTATATATATATATATACACACAGAGCTGTATTATTTAACAGAGTTAATCAACAGATGCAGCCAATATAAATGTATTTCAAATGGATGCACGTGCTTACCATTTATTCTTTTATTTCTAAGATACACAAACAAAGCAAAAATGGCAACATAAAAGAAGAGTTTTCTAAACAACACAGAACTTCATTAAAATTATTTCCCAGCCACGCACTGATCACCACTAAAGAGAAAAATAATGGTCTGTGATGCACAGAACGCCAGAGCAGATGCTTTACGAAACTCAAATAGGTCATTATTCAATGAACAAAATGTCCAGCCTCGCCCTACAACGGCCAATTCACTGCGATACGAAGGCATCCTGTTTGCAGTTTCACATAATGAATTAGAGGCAGCTATTTCACAGCAAGGCAAGGACAGGCAGAGAGCAGCTGCTGTTCCCCCAGAAGCTGCCCAACTCTCCCCCAAGGAAAAATATTGCATCCACTGTACGTGCTAGGGACCCCGAGCCAAAGCGTGAATTTATCCACCCAGCCATAACGTGCACCAGAGGCAAATGCTCTGTGTGTTCAGCTGGGCTGGCTCACTGGGCTGGGAGGTCTGGGAGGAAAAAGCCCCTTCCTTTTCCAGCTCCAGCATTATTCAATTACTTGGCTGGGATTTCAGTGCATCCCCTCTGGCTGTGGGGAAGGGACTGGGGAAGAACAGCACAGCAGATGACCTGACCCCCACATGCACATCTCTGAAGGGCTCCTCCCCTCTTTTCTTATCGTGCTCCCGAAAACACTGCTAATTCCTGCCCTCGAGATCTACTTGTGACAGAACACAAAGAGCACCACCTCACAGAATGCCAAATGAGGCAGAATTCAGAATGTATCCTGTGCTATGAACAAAGGTCTCACTAACCTGTTTCATCTCTCATTTCCAGACCCTTGGCTTTCAGTCTTGAATAAATAAATTCTTCTTTTTCCTAAAACACATTAGAATCTGATGTACTCAGCCCTTGAAGTCACCCACTGTTTTTAATCACATAGCAGTGCAGTGCTTAATGCCCTCTGAAGTAACAAGCAAAACTCGTTATACTTGGAAGTATCAACAAAACATTTTCCTGGATTCCTGGAGTTAGTTAAACCAGCAACGTTGTCACTTAGATCCTGCTGCCTGCATGCATCAATTAATTAATGCAAGTGTGCTACTGAAATGCATAAGACTTATTTGTGGAGTAAAGTTACAGCTGGTTTTCGATGTTTTCTGGCAGGATCCAGACCTTCTGTTTATAAGGCAAACTATGAAGATGTGCTGGAGAGCACGGCTGAGAATTTCAGCCCACAGAAAAACATGGAGCCTTAAAAAATGAAATTACTTAGATGTAAGCAGAGCAATTATTTGTACACAGGCTTTTCAAACTTTAGAAGCAGTTCTGTGGAATTAAAAAGCAAGCTTTGTTTTTTCACCAAGATCTCTGCATGCTTTGGGAGGCTATGACCAAAGATCATCACAGATGATGGTGAGTTACTGAACCATTACTGTTCTTCCACCAAAATTCAGTGTCTCCCAACCAACGCTGCAATGGGGAAAGACAGACCATGGCTGAACAGCCCTCAATTTATCCTTGCTGGGGTACACTGCCAGCAGAAACAGGGCAGGGCTCTCATTTACTCATGGTGATTATACCACATTTCCCCTCACAACAGAGCAAGAAGATCTGCAGAGCCATTTTCCACAGCTCACAGACAGCTCTTGCACATGGAATGGTTACAACTTTACACTTTTAGTGCAGGATAGGAAAAAGGCAAATACCGTTCTGTGCCACTAAACAGCACTAAAATCTGCAGGCTCTTTAGTTGTGTACATCATTTTAAAGACACGAATGCCAAAATGGCAATTTCCACACAGACACCGTGCGTACTAAAAGAAACACTATCAGTCACCAGCCAGCAAGGGTGGGTGACACTGAACCCGACCTCACAGAGGCCCAACTGCCCAGTTTCGGGTGTGGGCACAGGAGCTGAGCGCTGCCAGCCGTTACAGCGGGCTCACCTGGCGGAAGGCGCAGTTGTGGTGTGCCCAGAAGCGCTGGTCGCAGGCCTGGGCCTCCTGCCGCGCCTCCCGCAGCCGCCGCTCCAGGGGCGACTCCTCGGGGGGCACGTAGAAGATGATGGGGCGCAGGTTGGAGTGCCTGTCCGGGGGGCCGATCCAGTCACTACGGGAGTGCGCGGGGGGGCTGAAGCCCAGGCCCTGGAAAACACAGGCAGGCAGGGTTCATTACGACCATCTCAGCAGAGTTTTGGAAGAACATCTCCATTTGAAATAAAGTCCAAAACTCCACACAACCTTAAAAAATACAAGTGCAACAAGGTGAGAAATTATGCACGTGCATTTGCCCCGACTGAAAGCGATGTGATACACTTAAAATTTAATTTCAAAAAGCACTAGAGAGAAGATACCCTTGACTCTTTCCAACAGACATGAATAATAATTTTTTTTCTAAAAGCAACTTTTCTTTTTGCATTTTTGTACACTGATACTCCACTTCATTAAAATATTTAATGGCAAGAAGTAACAAGCACATAACAAGTCTAAGGGCTGCTTAATTCGTGTATCATGAACACACACAAGCATGAAGCTTTTCAGGCCGGGTTTAGGCAGGACTGGCTCCCACAGCGCTAACTCACCGCCCCGTTTGTAAAAGCGTTTCACCGCCCTTTTTTATCGCCTCAGCCACACGGGAAGGCCCCGCCTGGTGTTTACAAACACCGGGGGCGTTAAAAAATAGACAAAGCAGCAGGAAACGCTGGCTTTTATCGGGACGCACCCGCCCAGCAACGCTGAGTTACCCCACGGGCAGCCAGGGCGGCCTCCCCATTTCCCCCCTCAGGGCTCCGCAGGGCCGGAGACCCCGAGTCCCCTCCACGGCGGGCCGGCTCCGGGCCGCAGGAGCTGTCCCCCTC